GGGACGTGTGACACACACACGCCTCCTGTGACTCACCTCCCCTCCCGCCGCCTGTTACTATGGACGCGGCCGGGAAGGGAGGTGAGTCACAGGACCCGCCACCTCACTGTGAAGCCCATCGGCAGTGTGGGGCCCCGCGGCCCGGTACCATTTGATCCACGGACCGGTGCCGGTCCGGGGGTTGGGGACCACTGCTTTATACAACTGGAAACATTGTTGCTGAGCTTGTTGTTCCGGATACATTTCTCTTCATTGCACACCGGCCAGCGCAACGTTCTCATTCATATTGTATTATTATCGGGTGTTTGTTTCCCGCCGTCGCACGTTCCGGACGCATCCGGTGCGTTGCTCTGACATTGTACGTTGCTTCAGCGGAAACTTTAATCTTTGTAATGTAACTTCTTAGATGTGAAGGAGATTCTGCTTCCTGCTCAGCTCTGCATGGTGAGGGAACATTATTATTATTATAATACAGGATTTATATCGCGCCAACTGTTTGCGCAGCGGGAGGTGAACATTCACCTTCCCGGGAAGTCAGGACGCCGGAGCGATGTAGTGAGATCCTGCAAATCTGATCACGCCGCCGTAATGGAAATATGGTACAGCAAGTATGTAAAATGTGAAGGTTGCATCAGAGAGAGGAAGGTTTTTATTTGTCGGTCCGGTCATTTTATGTGCATGTGAAGCGCGGTGCATTATTCTACTGCAATCTGTAGATGAATGTGACGTGTCTCATGCCGGCTCACAGATATGTAAATCCGGGTTCCAGTTTTTGCATGATAGAAGGTGGAGCTTTTCAGAACAATGATCCTGTTGCTGTGACGTGTCCGGAATCTATTCATGGAGACTTGTACAGGTAATGACAGGTCCACTTTAACATCAGCTCTCCCCTTAGAGAGTGGAGTGGGATAGTCCTTGTTTTGTATAATAGAGTTTTATAATAAGATACAATGTGAATGTCTCCCCCATCCTTCCCCAATGTGAATGTCTCCCCCTTCCTTCCCCAATGTGAATGTCTCCCCCTTCCTTCCCCAATGTGAATGTCTCCCCCCTTCCTTCCCCAATGTGAATGTCTCCCCCCTTCCTTCCCCAATGTGAATG